TTCAAGCCCAGTCCAGTCCAATCCAGTCCATTGGAACGATCCCGTCTGTACGCATCCATAGCCGAAGAGAATTGCATGTCGTAAGTGGCTGAAATCATCCTCACCTCCTTTTGGCCTCGCACGCAGCCCAACACTATCACCGATTAAGCCCTGTTTAATAAATCAGTCCTCCTCCAGCCTTTTCTGCTAATTTCCATCGTTGTCGGAAGCGATATAACTTCTTCATTACCGACTGGGATACAATTCCACGGTACGTGAAATTAGACCCTTGAAGCGATCCTGCCTGACAGGTGTCACTGTCACTGTCACTATCACTGCTGTCACCCAGTTCTGGACCCTAGCTATCTATCCACACAATTTCAGCATAAGGAGCATGCGTATGCTATCGCCATCCATATCAGGGATATAGCATATCCAACCAAACCAAAAATCTTACAGAAAGAGAACGATCTTCATCACTCACATCACCATGAACAAGGCATCTGCATACACATCCATCCATCCATCCACCACAATAGCCATCTCCTTTTGAAAGTGAAGCGACGACTCAAACCTGATTCTCTGATCTACCAACAAAACCTAGACTACTACTAGATCCTCTGATATCCTGTTTCCCGAGACTGACCGGATGTGATGCGATGTATGGATCTACATGCCGTCCATCTAATTTACTACCCCTTCCTGATCAAGTATACACGGCTCACTCTCACACACACCCACGATCCAGAACATCCTCTGTACTACAACAACTAAAACGTAGGTGGTATACGGTTGTGCCAGCAAATGTATCTCGTGATGTGATCGCAAGCACGGAAAATGCAAAATGAATTGTGGATAATGGCGATCCCCACCGGGTTGTATCCCATCCGACTCGGACCCAGTCTAGACCCCGTTGGTTACCTACACAACCTGATGTTTCTACCAGATACTCTCGTGTGGTGGCGTGGCCTGTCTCCATCCATCAGGAAAATGAATTCATGCCTGATGATTGATGCTCCACTCTACACTTAACCAAGTACTGAGTGTACAAGAGAAAACAATACATAGTAAATTAAATAGACAATCAACTGATCATTATTCCCACGGAGAAGAGAAAAAAAAAAATAAAGACAGAGGGAGAAAGGAAAAGAATCTCAAACACACCCATCCATGGAATCTCAATCCCCCATCCCGTATAACCCAATCCCAATTCCCCAAATCTCTCTCCCTCCGATGATCAAATCCAGCCATACACAACTATCCCGTCTCCAACCTTACTTTCTCTCTCTCTCTCTCCCATTACCACTAGTCTAATAGTCCTCTATCTTAATGACTCTCTCGAATCAACCCGTCATAACTAGATACAACCATCCATGCTTAACCCACGGTTCCAGACAACTCCATTTCCTCCCCGTTACTCTCCACATAGTCTAGATTAATTGATCTTCCATCATGAGACCCAGCCAGACTCATCCTTTCCAATCTACTCAACCAGAGGATCGAATGATTAAAGACTAGATTCATCATCATCATCATCCTCCAATCTCTTCTACCAGAGGATAAAATGATTCAAGTAAAGTAATAGGATAGACATAGTATAGACGGACAGATATACTCTCCCGTGCCACATAACCCATCACCCACCATGTCCAATGTCCATGTCGAATCTAGATGCGATAAGATAATTGCCATCCCTATCCCTATCCCCACACACACCAAAACCCTCACCAGATACCTAATTCGTCTACTAGTCCCAGATGGATAAAGAGTCAAGATAGAAAGAATACGAATTTGCCGCCACCCCTCCCTTCCCTTCCCCTCCACTTCTCTCCTCCTTCGCCATCGCGGAGTAATCCAACCAACTAACCCAACTAATCTAATCTACCAACCAACCAAAAGCACCTAACAAGTTAGTCCAGATAGTTAGCGGTAGTAGAATGTGGGGAAAACACGGCACATTCGTACGTACGTAAGTTAGTTCACCACCACTACACAATTGAATCCACTTCATCATGTCTCAGATATACAAAGGTCTGGAAAAAAAACAAAAACAAAAACAGGTTTGTTGTTTGTATTTGTCTTTTCATCATTATATTTTGTTTTGTTTTTGTGTTTTGTTGTTGATGCAGTGGGGATAGTACATGAGGGGCAAAACGGGGCAAAGAAAAGAGAGACAACAATTATGTTTGTTTGTTTTCATGGCTTGCTGAATAGAACAGACAGACAACATGCATGCATGAAGTTCCCCACTTTTGACTTACCTCCCTTGCCTTCTTCTTCTTGTCTTGTCAGTTAGCCAGAGGGACTGCCAATCTTACAGCCAGCCAGCTAGCTGTGTTAGGTACATAGTAGGGAGGTAGATAGTTGGTTACAGAACGTTGTCATTGTGTGTTTGATCGACCTGGATTGCGTGTTTTGTTTTGTGTTTTGTGTTTATGTCTGTGTCAGATTTGCTTACGTTGTTAGTTGACTGATGTGTGGGCGGGTCTGTGTCGGATTCTGCTACAGTTCTACAATGTATGAATGACATAGGTTCAATGATAATGTTTGTGCATGTATTGCTCTTCTCGTCCATCAAAAGTATATACAGTTGAATAGAACTACCTCATCCTTCCGGATTCCACCTCGTGAGGCTATTTTGCCTCCACACTCTAACCGTGGCTGTCCTCACAATAACCTCAGCCCCGAACCACGTCTTTTGCCCCCTTGCTGCGAATGGCTTACAGGATTGCACGATCTGGACATATTCTGCTCAAGCCACACACGCATGCACAACGGTAGGCATTTCCGCGGAAGCAGTCCTCGACGTTACATCCACCGGGGGATGTCCGTGAGTTTCTGCAAGAGGAAGTACGGGGGCATTGTAACTTCGGTGGCACGTCTAGGCTTAGTGCACACCTACTTGCTTCGAGACTGTAGATAGTGTCACTGAGAGGTGGTTGCAATAAGTTTGCAACTCACGTCAGTGGGCCGATTCCTAATTTCGGCGGCGGATTCGGCCATCCCGATGCAGGATGATTCCAGACCGTTGGTGACTAGACCCACGACAGGTGGTCTGTTTAAATTATTTTTCCAGCTTGGTCGCTTGATACAAGCACCCCTGCGATCACTCAAGATGTCACCGATCTTCTGCGAGGGTCACCATGGCGGCGAGCGTGAAATCTCTGCGGCCGCTCACTGCGGCAGGGATGCATGCCGCGATTGGCGCCGGCCTTGGCAAAGAGCTTCTGGTCTTCTTCGTCGATGACAGGGAGCGGCGTGCAGCTGGACTGCTTCACCGTAACGGACGGCCGTGACGAGTCATTCCGAGAGCGCTGAGTCGGTCGGTACGACTCCTCGGGCTGCAGGTCGTGTCGGTCCAGAGCAGCCTGCAGCTCCAAGCACTGCAGCACCAGCTGCTTCACCCCATCGGTCAAGGCGCAGGCGCGATATTCGATGTCCGGCCAGAAGCCCTCGCCCCAAAAGGTATCCTCGCGAACAGCGTTCTCCAGCGATTCGTACCAAAAGTCGAAGTTAGGCAGCCGTCTCTTGGCGCTCGGGAGGTCCAGACCCTGCAAGTGGTCTGACAGGAGACACGCCACGGCGACAAATCGAATGGTCGGCTCCGAGTTCATAACGTGCAGAACGATACAGGCGGGGCAGCGCTCGGTCAAATACCAATCATGCTCTTCGCTCAGAATGGAATGCAGCCAAGCATAAGCACCACGCGCCTCACCACGGAACGCCCGTTCGCATTCCGCGCCTTTGTGGCGTGGCAGCACATTGGTTGCGATACGCGAGGCTTGATGGTGGAGCAGGAACAGAGGGAGGAGGATGGTGTGGATGATATCGCGATGAAGGCGGAAGGTTTCCTGTTCTTGACTGGGGGTATCATGGCGATGCTCGGCACAAAAGCTATAGCCGATATTGTTAGCTACGATAATTGACCGGGGAATTCTTATTTGTTTTGATGGATGCAAACACGTACCTGGGAGCTTTCATGCCCAGTTCCTGGCGCCTCAGATGCTCCCTCACAAGCCTAAAAGCCTCATTGCGATCCAAATTGGCGCGATCCCGGGGAGAGATGCGAAATGGGGAATATGTGCTGGTGGTGGACATGTTGCGGTCAACCGCTTAATCGCGCAACGGATAGACCGTAACGATGAAAGAGGTGGGAATATATTATGGAGACGGTAATATATAGCGATGGGGACAAAAATAGCAATCCGACGACTAATATGCGAATAAGGATGACGTTGCACCGGGGAGGCACAACAGGGTTGAATTTGGGCGAAACACGAAACGACTAGTCCGAGCCAATCAAACGAGGCACAAGTGGGCGGAGAAGCTTTCCAAAGAGGGCGAATTTGAAAGACGGGAGAACCACGGATAGCATGATCCAGACCAGAATAGACGAGGATGGAGTGTGTGTTGGTGAGGAATTAGGTGTGGTAAAAGGGTGGATAATAGTAGGTAGATAAGGTGAAGAAGAAAAAGAAGGGGGGAGGAGGGGAGGAGGGACAATGGGAATTGTAGATATATCTACTTTAGTATGAGTTTAAACCCCCCAGCACGTCAGAAACGGGCAAGAAAAAGAAAAAAGAGGGGAGGGGGGGTGGAAAAGGGAAAAGCAGGAAATGAAAAAGGAAAAGGAGGAAATGAAATGAAAGCGTTGGCGGAGATTCCTTGGAAAGGGAAATGGCACGCATGCGGGAAAAGGAAGCCCCAGTCAGACGAGGCCCCGTCATCCACGCAAGCCGGTGACGATCCGTCTTTCACTAGTCGATTGCTTGTAACTCTCTGCTTGCATCTCCTTTTTTTTTTTTTTCCAACCCCCAAGAAGGATGGGGGGATATAATAATTATTTTTACAACGAAGAGGCTGTCTACGTTGCCTACTTTGATTTCTGTTGCTTTTTCAGATATTTTTTTTATATTCATATTTATTTTTTTCGAATATCTCAACAGCATCCTACGTCAAGCGGCCGAAGAGTAACGGTAACTAGCAGAGAACAGACCCCATCTCCAGATGATCCTAATTATTTAGGCGGTGGGCCCAGCCAGGGTCTCGATCGTTGCCAAGACCCATCGCTCCTCGTGCTTTGGGCGAGACCGGAGAGCCCAAAGCAGAACACTTCCAGCAATAAGGGGGCGGGCAATCCCGGGCGATGGCTTGCAACTGGTCAGGTTCCTCCTGACATCGCTGGATCGTGTCCACCCAGTGCCATGTTCCCAGCATATCTTGACAAAAAAATCATAGCATACATATTAATAGTAGCTTCTTACCCAACTTCACTTTGCCCCCCTCCTCAGATTTATTAGCCACTATCGTTTGAGAGATTAATCGTCTGTTCAGCCCAGGCGATCAAACCGGATGATTTGAATTGCGACACACAATTCCTACCACACCATAAGTAAGTAGTAGTATCCACTCGGGCCCTCCCTGCCCTACAGGTTTCAGGCGAGAAACACAAGCAATTTCAATTTCAGTTCCAGTCTTATTTTAATATTAATTTCCCGTAGCAAAATTAGTATCAGTCTATTTACTTACTGTGTAGCAATAATCTGGATTCATTACCTCATTTCCCTCTGTCTCGCTTCCTCCTTTTCCTTCAAAGGAACGATTCATGACTAATCGGGAAACGTTTTGTTGTGCGAAACCCCTATAATCACGTGAGGGACTGGGGATTGCCAATTTGGGTCAGGAACCAGGCCACTCATGAACATTTGCTGGGAATCTTGTATATCGGAATTGTAATGTACCCAGACTCAGATACTCTTTGTAGTAACCAAAGTTCAGAGTTCCATTCAGATGAAATGCTTAACCCGAACATTATTGAATGTGGTGTCCCAGATATCTCCGACGCGGTACTCACATAGTTCGCGACAACCTTGTTGCAATGCCTGCATAAACAATCCAATCCATGTTGTCGATCCCATGCACCCTGGCATCCATTAATCTGTTCCCCCTTCGATCGCGCTGCATTCCATCTTCCCCGGAGATTGGAACTGCCTCTCCTTCTCTCATCCACTCCAGAGCCACAATGAGTTTAACGCAGCTGCAGGATTCTTTTTGACGTCACGCTCCTTGCAACAACACTCCCGAGTATGTCTCCTCCAGGGCAGACACGGTACCTCTGGTATGGCAGGGCGCCAGGACGATGGGGAGGTAGATACCCGGGGGGATGAATGACTTCAACAGTTATTCGTGCATCTGTTATATTAGAACAGGTGTTTTCTCGTCCATGCAAGTGTCTGCATTCTCATTCCCTGGGTCGTCTTATCTACCTGCTTTACAATTTACAACATTCACTGTCCAGACAGCTGCAGGCAGTTTTGCTGGCGTGTTCCACTCACTTCTGCACTCCGTCTTACTCAATTGATACCGACGCATTGGACTGGTCTATTCGCTGTGTTTTATCACTCTTTGGATAAGGATAGCGGTCAGAATCCCCGGAAGGAGACTGCAGAGTACCCACCCGATCTATTATCGCAGATTACTTTGCAGAGAGCCAAGCCGCGTGCAGGGACTGCGAGAAGACAATGGTCAAAACACACTGGTCATCATCTGCAACTGCTCTATCGTTGCTGCTCAACACGTTCTATATCCCCACCGCCAGTGCCATACAAACCATCTCGGCTGTTGGTTCAAAATTCTTCTACGAAGATGGCACCCAATACTACATCAAAGGTGCGTGTGTCTCCATTCGACCCACGATAGTTCCTCACGCACTGACCCGCACGCCATGGTCTAGGCATCGCCTATCAACTCATTCCCGAAGATCCCCTGATTGACACCGCTCAATGCACGCGAGATGCCGCCCGCATGGCCGAGTTGGGCACCAATGCAATCCGTGTGTACCATGTGGACCCTAAAGCCAACCACGACGGATGCATGAAAGCTTTCGCAGATGCAGGCATTTACCTGTTCGTCGATCTCGACACGTTCGACACCGCGATCTCCCAGGTATGCACTTACCACCACCACCATCTATACCCTATTCATGACCTATCACCCGACCCATCATCGTATCAGGCCGCCAACAAAACCCTTACCCATACTAACCACATCATCCCCATCTTACAGGACGACCCCCACTGGGACCAATCCCAATTCGACAGCTTCAAAGCCGTGCTGGACGCCTTCCAGAAATACGACAACACCGCCGGAGTCTTCGTCGGTAACGAAGTCCTCACCACCAAGGACGGCTCCGCCGCCGCCCCCTACGTGCTAGCCGCAGCCCGCGATATCAAATCCTATCGCAATGCGCAGCACTACCGCTCCATCCCAGTCGGCTATTCGGCCGCAGACATCGCCGAACTGCGCCCCATGCTGCAGAACTACCTAGCCTGTCGCTCTGACCCCGCCGAACGACTCGATTTCTTCTCCCTCAACGCCTACGAATGGTGCGGTGACTCCTCATACGAGCTGTCCGGCTACCAAACCCTCCAAGACGAAGCAGAAGGCTACCCCATCCCCATCTTCTTCTCCGAAACAGGATGCAACGTAGCTCGTCCCCGCACCTTCTCCGACCAGGCCGCCATCTTCGGTGACCACATGTCGGGCACCTGGTCTGGCGCTATGATCTACGAATGGATCGAGGAAACAAACGACTACGGCCTGATCGAGTATGGCCCTCCCGGCGCCGACACTCCCCCAACCGCTACCAAGGATATCATTGTCCAGGACGGCTTCACTCGCCAGGGTGAACCCACCCCGATCCAACCTGACTTTGATAACCTCAAGAACCAGTGGGCTACGCTTGACCCTACCGGCGTCGCCCTGTCCGACTATGTCAAATCCACCGCGGCTATCTCCCCTCCAGAATGCCCTGCCTCGACAGACGGTGGATGGGCCGTGGATCCATCCGCCCCGCTCCCAACTATAGGTCAAGCCTTCGTCCATGCTGATGATGATGATGATGATAACAACTCTGGTGGTGATGATGGTGCTACCTCTCCCGCTTCCGCCACCGCAACCACCACAGATACTGCATCCGAGTCAGGAGCAGATTCTTCGAAATCAGTATCAAACAAGCAGTCTTCTCCCTCTTCAGGTACAAACCCAAGCGGAGTAGCCGCTTACAGCCCATCGAGCGGGGCTTCATCCATGCATGCTGGAAATGGTAGTGGCTTTCTGTTCCGGCTTGATGTGTCTGCTCTGTTTTGTGTGGTTATTGGGGGCGTGGCGTGGTGGTTGTAGGTGATTGGTTAGATGCATGTGAGATGTACTAAGTAGTACAGTAGTATGCGAGTGGTCAGTCGGGTATTTTTGTCCACCATTGGGGTCTTATCATTTACTTTCTGCATCTACTTCTTATTACTTTGACCATATTTGGTCTTTGATATGTGGGTTTCTACTTATGCCTGATCTGATGATGATTTTGGAAGTGATTTTGGAGGATACATGGGTGTTTTGTGGGATAGGGATTGGCGTGGATGGTGGGTTACTTACTACTGGATAGTCATGGCGGAATTATAAAATATATGTATCGTCTTTTCGGTGTCCTCTTATCTTTGACGCGTATTTATATTCATTACGGAAACATACTAGAAGAAGTGTATGCATAGACAGTAGAAATTGATTAAATGACTAAGCTAAATACAAGTGAAACGGAAAGGTAAATAAGTGAAATAGATAAGGATATCACCCAAAGCAAGCACAAGCGGTCATTCGTCATCAATCGTTGGGAGGACTGGCATATTAGTATATGAGAAAAAAAAATAAATGAATAAAAAGCCGAGTCTCCTGAGAAAGAATTGAAGTGTAAAGGTATATAGTATCAGAGGAAGAACCCGAAAAGCCTAGAATGTACAAGGCATGACGTTGTGTACAAGTAGTATGTGCGGAGTGCATGAGAATAGAGAAGTCGAAGGGAAAGTGTAGTAGTTTACCAGTAATGCGACGATGAAATGACTGGTTGTTGATCGAGAGGGCAGTATGTCAATGATACAAAGAGAAGGAGCCAAGTGCCAAGTGGTTATCGCTTTGGAACGGGTATATATAAACAAAGGCTAATGCTTCCCTAGAGCGATGCTGTAATTCCATGTCGGATCGTTATGTGCTGCCGGACTTAGACCATGATCTGGGTCACGCCAAGGGACGGGCGACGAAGAGGTACTGTATTTATCATACTCTTGATCTGTGTCGCTGCTATATATATAGGTGTCCGTGTATTGCTGATCAGGCAAACTGAAACTCGAGGCAGAGGCTGAAGGAGAGGGACGGAGGCTCACGGGTCCTCCGGAGCTAGTAGATGAGAATTCGGCAGTCATTGGACTACTTGGAGACGGGGATCTGGCCCCTAGTGGCTTTGCTCGCGGGACGACGAGTCTGTCTGCTGACGAGGCTGCTTGTGCGCCTAGACGGAGTGGATTCTTGGTCCTGGGGGCATGGACTTGTAGGTCGGAAGTACAGTGGAGGCTACAGCTTCCGTCCAATTTCTGAAGTGAGTGGGCCAGAAGCTGCTCCACCTGATAAGCAGATGGGCGGCTCATGGGTTCTCTGTTTAGCATGCTTCGCACGACGGTGAGCATCGGTCGAACAGCCTGGAAGATGGGATCCTTGTGTTTCTTCGCATCGTTGTCCAGTAGGGCGATCCAGGAGCTCACTTGGCCGGCGTTTCGGTCGAGGTGGAATGAGCAGTCGGCGACGCCGCCACCGCGGCCAGCGGTCCGGTTCTTGGCCCCTCGATGGTGTGAGAAAGCAGAGAGCTTGCGCTTGCATAAATGAGTGAAGATGTCTAGAAATACTGCTCCAAGTGAGAATATGTCCGAGGCTTCTGGATCTGACTGGCGTGTTTGCCACGTATGAACAATTGCGGCGTTGGAACCGATGATTGGGTAGCCAAACTGGCCATATGTAGTAGTAGAAGGAGTGGTTGATGATCTAGAAGAATTGGAGTTGGACGAAGTGATGGACGGTGTGTAGAACATCGGTCGTTTTATGGAGGATACCACGCGCTTGCGGGCGCTCCCAACGCTTGATCCAGAGGAAGATGAGTTGGTGAAAGATATCCGAGAAGGTGAGCCTCGTAGGCCGATACGTATGGCAGTTCCCTGCGACGTAACAGACTCCGCGTGTATTTCTGTATCCTGATCCGACGGTTGAGAGCCCCTGAATCTAGATAAGCTCAGCATTGCTGGACGGGACGACTGTTTGCGAGCCGAACGCCCCCCTGATGGGAGCGCAATGTTTGGGCTTGGTGCGCTTGTGTCCTGAATACTGACTGAGCGCACCCATCGCTCGGGCGCACCATACTGGTAGGTTTCAACGTCGTCCGGCTTGAGTGGGGATAGAAGAGTGTCGAGAGCCTCGAACTGGCCCAAGAAAATCCGAAAGTCTGCGTCAACCAGGATGTTCGACGGAGAAATCAGGCTATGGGCCTGGCTATGTGCATGCAACCATGACAGTCCATTAGCCAGACAATGTGGCCAATTGACTAATATCTCTCGACGCTTGTTCTTGGCGAGGCGCTTGAAAGGTTGAGGCACGTCGGTAAGGAATGACATGAGCGTTCGCTCGTATACGCCCGAGAAAAGAATGCAAACGGTGGTATCCACAAAGTAGGAGGCGTAGATCGAGTAGACGTGATCGTGGGCTAGCCTTCTCAGAGAGCGGATTTCTTCCAACACCTCGTTCTCCTCGAAGAAATGCGGTGCGCCGCCAATAGAGACTTGCGTTCGCAACAGCACACGGCACTTGAAGCCAGCTAGAACGACCTTCTCCACGCCCTCTCTCACTAGAGAGGTTCCGGTACGAAGAAGCTCCACCGGGACACCCTCGTTCTGAGTGTACTTGATATGGTCGCCTTCATTGATACCGCGTACCGTGAACCGCCATTGAGCGAGAAAGAATTTGTGGGCAACAGTTGCGTTGTCCCCTTCAGGTGCGAGAGGAAGTCGAGTGGTACTCGGTGCCGACAAAGGTAAATCCGTGTCATCTAATGATTCATCGACCAGGGCAAAGATGCGCTCCGGTATGCCGATATCCACGAGGATCAGGAAGATTCTACCGGCCTTGGCGAGGATCCAGTCTAAGTAAGACTCGCTAGTCAGACCCTCTCCCCAAGGCAAGGGGTTGACGAGACGGTGCAAGATGTTCGAAGGTAGGTGGTTAAAGACGTATTCGGGACAAAGGGTGGCCTTCACGCGATCCTCGGGCCACCAGAGAGAGGTGATGGCCGTCGACATTTCGAACTCATGGCGATCCGGGCCAAGATCAGGCGCTTCCCCGCAGGCGAGACCAGACATCTAATATATCGGCGAAAGGAAGGATTCGAAAGTCACAGGGTACCTACACCTGGCCAGACTCGAGTAGGACAGACATGTCTCTTTACGGGGCTTCAGCAAGCGGCTGTCACAAAGAATGTCCGGGCCACAGACGGATTGGTGGGTATAAATGGAAGGAAAGCGTAAGCCCTGAAACCAATATTTCAAATCGATTGACAGGAAATAGAATACTCCAGGTAATCAAGAAAAATTGTCATTAGATCAATAAACATCAAACCTAAAGGGGATACCTCAATATCGGGGGGGGGGATACAGTGTCGCGCGGAGTGTGGCGGACCTCACTGGTGGACACGAGGCTTATCAAGCGCCCAGCAAGGGATATTCACGGTATTATTGGAAGGATCCATTCGATAGTAGTATATTCCGGAATTGTAGAACGGGGAAAAGAAAATCAGAAACCTAAAGGAGGGGGGGGGGACAGGGAAGAAGAGGTACTTTTCCACTGTGGTCATGGTGCCAGTTCCACCATGATAACAATCAATTCCGAACATGGGACCACATGCTCCTAGCGGCCATCCAAGCAAAAGGAACGAGCATACGAAAAAGAAAGTGCACCCGAGGAACCAAGCTCGACCATGGGTACGAAGTACCAGCCTAGTAGAGGGTTCCCAGTGCCCCGAAAGGAGATGCTTGAGAGGATGAATGAATGGCCGGGATTTTCTCCAAGAGAGTGGGAACGGCCCCGTAGGCCGGCTCCGACAGTGAGGAACCTGGCGAAAGAGATTCTGAAAGCCGTTAAGGAGTGGGGGTCTTCCAAAGTGAGGAGAGCGGAATCTAGATAGTATAGTCCTTAGAGTTCGGAAGGAGGGAAGCTAACTCTTTAGTCGATACTTAGCTGGGGCAGATACTAAATCATAGAGTGATGACCCGAGAGGAAAAGAAACAAGAAGGGGAATGAATGGAATAGTAATACAAGGCGTGCGTGGACTCGATCCTCTCCTTCCAATGAAGGAAGTTTCCAATGCAGAAAAGGAATAAAACCCACGCGATAAACAGCGCCGACCAAAGCGTGACTTGAATTCCCGGATCACGGGTCTCGAGTCATGCCGGATTTCTTTTTATTATGTTCTCTTTTGGGAATCATCATTGTATACTGTCTACAGTAACTAGTACTATACAGAGTAGTAGTCTACCATCGCCTCACCATGGCCACCGACACCTATCGAATTGATCAGTAACAAGCCCATTGTGAGCCATCATTCTTCTACTAGAAGAATCTGTCTTGCATCCATCGAGCTGATCGTCAGGCGCATCCTTCTTGGTAAAAAGCAATGTGACGTGGCGTTGATCGAGAAAGAGGCAAGACAACTAAGTACCTATCTATCCCGACTCTTAGGCGCCTGCAATAACTAGTTACTCAAACAAGTACCATACATAGCTAGTACCACAAGACCAACAACAGCCACTGCACGCAAGAACAAAGCTAAAGAGGGTACGATACACGACATCTGGAGACACTATGAGGGGAACACGGAAGAAAATTAAAAACAAAAAAAGCTCCTCAAAGATAGGGAAAAGGAAGATAGATACTATTCGAAAAAGTCCGAGGCAGGGTTCCCGGATCGGGCAGACTATGCGTCATCCCTGGAGGGTTCGGGATGCAAGCTTATCAGTTGACAGTTGGACAGGCAAAGTTTACTCATGAAAATCCCGCCATTAGTCACGGCTCCCGAGATAAGCCCATTGCTTACTTGCATTGCCATTTGGTCCAGTTATTCATCCATGGGAATGAAAAAGGAGGGTTTGAATTATGATCCATCATATGAATGCTTTTCAATGGTGGTTTTTGTCCTCTGTGCCAATAGTGCAGAACCACACAGCCAACAAACAACACACATACACAGCCTGAACAAGTGGCTGGGGCAAAGTGGCCCGCGCGCTTTATCCATACTTGAACCGCGCTCTCGACCTTATGATAAGGCTTATAGTAGCCTACTTCGTACTTACGTTCACAAAATGGAGACTAGACCATCATGAGGGGAGAGAGAGAGAGAGAGAGAGAGAGAGAGAGAAAAAGGTACGTACAGTAGTTCGCCGGTCCGCACGTCTCAAATAGACAAGCCCCAAATTTTCGATCTTCGCCGCACTCCTTCCTGCTTATCTCGGGGGCTCGCGCGGTACTCGCCGGTCCGCCGGGGTAGCTTCGGCTCTACTAAGTTAGTGTCTTCACTTGACATGGCTATGTGTGTTGCAGGGTGACAGGAACTAAGCCATTGATTTTGATATGGCGTGGCGCGGTTATAGTAGTATTTTTGCCGCGGAGCTTGCGGGCTTATCTTGCGAGCCTTCTTCAGTTGTAGTAAGCAGACTATATCTAACTAACCAGAGCCTCCAGTAAATACTACTTACTCCTGCCTGATGTAGTATCTATAGACCATACTATGACAGGAGAAAGTATCCATGGAGGACCTCTCTATACCCAGAGACCTCGCTCTCGATAAAGCATAGAAGGCATACCATCCGCCTTCAATACCATGCTCTACTCTAAAGAATGATCGATGTGCAGCCAGATGATCATTCCATGCAGCAGGATCGCCCCTAAGTCCGGGAAAAAAAAGCCATGCTTGTGCGAAGTATTGCATTCATTGTTTTCTTTTTCTTCCTCCTTCCTTGTTCGATTCCCTGCTCAACAGAAAAATCCTTTTCCGGAGCCAACGGGAAGATCAAGATGCGCAGCCAGCTGGATCGACAACGAAGAAAAGAGAAAGTGGATGGTATAAGGGGGGAGAGAGAGAGAGAGACGAAAATAAAACCCACAAGCCCAAGCCTCAGAACTAGTTCAAGCCATTCATGCAGGAGGTCATCATGGACAAAATTCTCGTCTCTTCCCCCTTTTTTCCTTTCCATCCTTCTGTACTTTTCTTCATCATCTTTTCCTGCCTTCTTCATTTTAGTTCAAAATGGGTTGCCTTGCAGAGCTGATCGCAATTAGAAAAGAGACACATTCAGACACACAGACGAAGTCGTAAAAATGACGTTAAACACCTAATTCCTGACCAGCGAGAAAAAGGATCGATCAACAGAAAATCACCTGTCAGAAATGGTTATCGTTTCACGTCGGTGCCAATCATGACGTCGAAAGCTCCATAGACTATCTACTTACTTTTGAGCCTAGCGAGGCACTATACTTCCGACGACCCTAACATAACTATGATCCTATGCGCCGTATCCGCCGCAATCGACTATTAGTCCTTTGCGTAGTAGGAGCAACCTGTTTCTGCTGCTGCTGCTGTTGTTGCTGTTGTTGTTGCTGCTCTTCGTAAGACTTCCGTCGAATCCAGGATTTGCGAAAATGCTGCTGCTCTTCGTCCTGTTGTTTCGCTCGGTGGTGGATGAACTGTTCGTGGGCTTCTTTCTCCTCGTGCAACTTTTCGATCTGGTTTACGTAGATACGTGAAAAGGTTAGTCATATGCAGGTACAGCAGGGGCTGCTGTATGTCATGTCCCGTAAATGTGTGAGATGGGGGGTGTGAGGGGTGGTGGTGTGTTCATTTGTTTGGTGAAAGTCAGACAGACAGGGGTATAGATTTGTTTGTCTCACAACCGTGAACAAGCAAGAGCGAAGCGCACACACACACCTACACACACACACAGAGAAAGAATGAAAGTTCCAGAGGGAGATCTATTGGAAGACAGCTAAAAGAGAAAGGGGATGAAACATACTTGAGCAATCCACAATTCCTGCTCCGAACTCCAAGCTTTCTGACATCGAGCCAGTTCGCTTCTCGCAATTGCTAATTTCCGTTCCTGTTCCATCGTCCACCGACATCGATCTCCAGCCAAACTGGCCCAGCTGGCGATGCGCACCAACCCCGTCCGACTACTGCTACCGCTGCTTCTGCTGCTGCTGTTGCTGCTGCTGCTGCCCAGATGCGAGTCGATTGCGCTCACCGCCATGTGGGCATGACCATCGGTCAACGCTGCATAGTCATCTGGGTACTGTACTGCGCCCCAGCGAACCTCGATGGGCGGGTCAAAGTCGATTTCTTTCCCTTTCCAGGTAGAGGAGGGTGAGATGGGGTAGATGGAGGAGGGGGAGTGGGAGTGATGTTGTCGATGTTGTTGTTGCTGCTGCTGCTCGGTTCGCTTGTTGGTGAACAGGGACAGGCGCAAGACATACTTGACTGGATTGCTGACCCCCATTTTCCCTTGTTTTTCTTTTTCTTTTCCGTACATATACAAAATGTAAATTCTGTCTGCCTGATCTTCCTGCTGATCTGTTCTTTGCTTATCGATTCAAAGGGACTGGACAGTAGTATGGTGGTGGACTTGACTGTTGCAGTTCACCTTTGGCTAAGCTGACAGAACTGTTCGAACAGTTGTAATTGAACTCAGGCACACACACAGACACAGACACAAACACACACAATAGATTGTGTATACTACGGGCCATTTGGAAATCCCCCTTTTTATATACATCATATCGACCCGGTCACTTCTACTACTACTACTACTACTTACTACCAACAGCACCCGATGCATCTATCACTTCGGGGAACGGCTTACTACTACGATACCTTCGTTTCTCGCCCTGCATACTTTCCTTACCCGAGGCGGCCAGGAAATCCGGTTTTAGGCGCCATAGGAGACACAACCCGACATCAGGCTTCTAAAATGGGGCTAGGCTCGTATGTCGCCTGCTTCCGCTTGGCTGGCGCTCCAGGATGTCTGCACCGTGCAGTCAGAACTACAATGTTGGGACCAATGAGGGACGATGATGTACCTCGAGTTCGTCAGACCATGAAGTAAGTAGTAGTTGGCAGTTGGCAGGTCAACCCCCGTTTTCTGTGACTGCTACTATTTCCGTGAAACTACTATGTAGCCACCCCGTGGAGAAGTAAACGTGGCAGTAGGAGCGTTACTTGACCACGACCCATAAAGGAATAGGGTCGAAAGGTTGAGAAACTCACCAAGTTGACGGGACGTTGCGGACGTCACAGAGCAAACACCGATGCCCGCAGCACGACACGTTCCATGAAGATCGGTCAACTGTGCTGCATTCATTGGTCTATACAGGGGGCACTAGAAAGTCAATTCTGCGAATCAGATTCCAGGCCAAACAATTGTGTTCCGAACCTGGCTGACAGGTGCGCTCTTTTGCCAAAGTAGGGAACCATATGTGCTGCATACACCAATGGTGTTGTTGCGTTCCATTCCAACATATAAACGAGTAAGAAATGAAAAAATTGTTTGGCAGCTGACTCATGGATATCCAATCGGGTGTGGAGAGTCCAAGACAAATGAAACAGAGGGGGAATAGTACGTAGACAAAATAGATGCTGTACAAGAACATAAGGCCAAAACGTAAAGTGAGCCTGCCACCCAATGACCCTTAAGATCAATTCCGCTGGTTCGCCACCCGTGAAGACCCGAAACAACGTATCCTCTCAACAAGAAAAGCAAGAATATAAGTCGTTACAACGTGTGCTAACTTTGTGTGCCAACAAAGTCTGTACTCAAAAAATAGATGTAGTGTGCCGAGTTCAGGCGGCAGGAGCCAAGCGACGTGCAGGTTTGAGAGAAGTCATATGCGCCACGTCCCGTACCCTGTGTCCCTGCTTCGCGGATACTCTTCCCTCAGTTGATCCTCGTGGAGCCTCCTCTCCCTCTGGTCTTGTCTGATCTGTTCCCCGATAATGATGCTGATCAATCTTCTGTGAACGTCAGCTTCCGTCCAAGGAATCTGACCCGTTCCACCGGCCTTTGAGTCGGCTTGGGATAGCTGCTGAGCGAATCTATCAACTATGCCAAACTGAAGCTCTGTGACTGGCACTCCGTAGACTCCATCCGAGGTCCAGATCCAGTCGCCAATCATATCGGAGCGACCAGGCGCCGGATGGTAAGGGAAGCGTTCAGGATACAGTTTTGCCGAGCGATAGAGGCGATGCAGCAAGCGATAGTGATCATCGGAAAAGTACAAGGAAAAGGAAGAGGGTGATTGCTCTCGTGAAGCCTGCCCCTCCACTACTTCTTCTCTGTCACCCTTCTCGTCCAGTGAAGCGTGCGCATCATCGTCCGCTTGGAAAGAATCGGAACTAGCAAAACTCTGTTTCCCATCTTCTGGCTCTTCAAATCGAGTAGGTCGTGGGGTTTCCCCTAAGTCTCCCCAGTTAACTTCATCATCGCCATAATCCTCATTATCATATTCATCATGCGCTGACTCAACGGCGGGCGGTTCCTCATCTTCGTCGCCCGAAGGATTTTCCAAACCCCGCCCTTGCTGTTCAAACTTTGGTGCTCTGAGCCAACCAGGCGTGAAATTAGTGATTTTCTGGAACCAGGATGATGCTTGACTGCCAGGGCTTGCATGCCGTGGACGTTCCGGCGTGATGTCTCCCACCTCTGGAGCAGTTTGTCTCTCGGATGTAACGGCATCTGACATCCCCCCAATCTTGTTGACTTCCATCCCAGGGTCTTGACGTTGTCTAGCCATCTCCAATCTGGTTGTGGGATCGATCTGGAATGTTTCATCCTCCGAGTCCCGGCGAGGGCTGGACTCCACGTAGCCCTCTGACTGTTGATCCTGGTTGAGATCATGCTCATAGTGTTCCTCTTGTACCACAGAAGCTGGCGAACGGCCTACAGAGCCTCGTATTGCACTGCTCGGCGGACTGCTTTTCCCATAGTAGTAGTGGCGACGCTTTGGTGTGTCCTGGGCACGGTACAGAGCCGTCAAATCAACTTCTTGCTCCTGTAACTGTTTGACCCTCGACCGGCCCAAGAATGGCACAGTCTCCCGCTCGTTTGTCCAATGAGCCGGAGATAAGATCTTGCCATTCTGATTCCGAGCAGGAGTCCAGCCACTCTTCCACGGGCTAGACCCATCCTGCCTAAGGTGCTCACCATCCTGGTCATCCTCAAGTAGTGAAGAGTGATCTGATTGGTTGCCTTGACTGCGAGCTTCTTGCTGCCAAATATCTTCGTAGCCATCATCCTCGTCTTCCCCATCTAGGCGCTCGGCCTCTACGTGGGCGTCGTCATCTTGGTCGTCTTGAACGGGTTCCGCCGCGTACTCTATCTCATCGCCGTCTTCATACATGCCATCTTGCATATTCGACTGATCATTATCGTCGCTGTCAATGACGATAACCTGGCTAGAGTTTGCCATCTGGATCTCTCGACTGATAGCTTCCCTTTCCCGTTGCCATTCTTCCATCCGCCGTTTCATAAACGTGCCCGGTGTGCCATAGTCGGTGGCCTTAGGCGGTGTTTGCTGTGGCGAACTGGAGCCACTCCATTCCCTGGTTTCCTGAACAGTGTTTCTTGCAGTCACCTCCGCCAACTCCATTTGTCTGCGTTGTTCCATTTCTCTCTCGATCCGCCTCTTCGCGAGTTCCTGCCCAAATGCCAAGCCTGCCTGCAGCTCTTGTTGTACTTGTGGGGTCAAGTCACCAAAAACATGTTCCAGCCTTTTCCTAGACGTGCCTAGCATAGAATCTGGATCACCCGAGAAGCTAAGGCTTCTTGAGTTTGACTGGTACGAAGATTGCCCCTCTTCTGAGTTTCTTAGAGGCCCTTCGAGAGCTAAGCCTGCACGAACTATTCTGACGAATCTAGTCAACGGCCCCCGCTTTTGTCCAGTAAAAGTCGACTCAGATGATATCGCCGTCGATCCGGGCATGTTTCTGGAAGGTTCGAGCCTGTCTTGGGATGATGGACGGTCTAAGTGGGCATTGGCCTCGCTTGACTGGCGGAACAGCTGGGCTGGTGACTGTTTCCGCTGCTTAGAGTCCGACCGGGGCTTCCGAACAAGATTGTCCTCTTGTTGATTCTGGACCGCCGAGGCTCTTCGCTTCAAGACGCCATTCGATTCCCGTTCTAAGAAAGGCTTTAGAGAACTCTTGGCGGCTTGGGAGTGGCTCGCGCTCTTGATCTCATGTTGTTTAGCGGATGGCAATGTATCCAGCGAGACCATGCTGAACCCTTCACTTTCCATTATAGAGTCAAATTCCCTGTGTTCCTCGGTCGGATCTGCGCTGGGGCGTGCCCCGCTCTCAAGGTGATCCTTATCATAGGTAGCACTAGTTTTCTGAGCCTGCTCTGTCTTATCTTCTTCTGCTGCAGATGATGAGGTTGGTGTGGGGTAAAGGCGTGATGGTCTCGGGGTGCGGCCGGCATGCAATGTGTTCGCTGGCGAGATAATCGAGGTATCGCGGGTTGGGGATGGCATTTTGGAAGGTGTTGAATGTAGGTTATACTCGTCGTTCTCCGTAAATCCTTGGTCAACATGGTCAACATTTGGAGTCTCAAAAGTTTGCTCAAATGTCACTCGGGGACCAGTCCCATCGCGGACAGCGGAATCAGGTAGTTCCAATCGGTCGCCATAACCAAAATCGTCATTGAACTCGAGTCCTTGATCCCCCCAAATGTCATCGTCGGATTCCGGGTCTGCTGCCAGATTCAACGGACTCCATCTCTGCTCGGGCTCTATCAGCGCCTCTTGTTCAATCTCTTGGTTCTCCACCTGCTGTTCGCTTGGTTCTACCACATCGAGCGCCGGTGCGCTTTTTCTCGGCCGGCCTCGTTTTCTCTTCTGACCTGTCCCCCCAGGACCCGGAGTATGCCCTGGGCCCGGGGTATGCCCAGGGCCTGGTGTATTTCCTGGACCCGGGGTATGTCCTGGACTACCTCCGCGTGGAGTCGCATCCTGCAGCCAAATGTCCGACTTCCTTGGGCGACCTCTGCGTCTGCGTGGAGTCTGTTCTGTATCGTCTTTGAGGGGTACTTTCATCGTTGTCGTTGATGGCTTCAACCGTTTTCGCGAAGGGCTGCCTTGGTTCGTTTCTTCATCTTGTGTCGCTTCGAGCGTTACCCGGATCCTCCACGGACTGACATTCCCGTCGGCCGGACCCTTATCGGGAGACATTCCACCGCGCTGGCCGTTCAGTTTCGTCGTCGGGGAGGCAGGTAGCACAACGTCATTGAACTTTATGGAGTGGGCGTTTTTCGAAGGGCTCAAACTCACACGCGACCGCCTTTTGCCCTTCGCCGTCCGCGGACTTTGCAGGAGGCGGAAGTTGGCGGGCGACATGAAGCTTTGGCGACCGGAGAAGGGGACAAATGGGGAGGAGATCAAATAATCGGCGTCGCCAGGTGGCCCAAGAATGTCCGGAGAAGAACTGGATGTGCGGGAGGACATATCGATAGGGAAACAACGATGCGACGCATGTGAGGGGTGATTTGTGACCCCCCGTCGCGTCTCATAAGGACGACACCGGATTCAAACACTTCAATCGGCTTTGCTAGTCGGACACTTTCATATTCGGTCCTTGAAGGTAAGATTAGTCGTCGCGTCTGGAAGCAGATTACCCAGACACGGTTTCGGCCACCAAAAACAGTTTCTCAATCTGTAGAAAATCTGATAAAATCGTCGCATAACATAAACAAGTCTCCCGATCAGGCAGCCCCAGCGACCGGTAGGGAAGATGCTTAGGTTATCCGGCGGGATTGTTGTTCCTTGCCGAGTGAGTACGGGGCGGCAGAAGTACCCAAACAGCAAGCTGGACCCATAATTACCATCCTCATAATAAACTCTATAGAGTAATCGTTATTGTCCATACCTAGTTTCCTCCCCGCCTGAATGTTGGTGATATTGGTGTCAGTGATACGTTTATTCTAACTTTGTCCATAATGTACTGAACCACGTCTGAATGGTACCTCCAGTCATAGCAGGATGTCAACCTCGTAAGAGTGAGCGAAGACAAAGAGAGAGAAATCGATGATCGACAGGCCGGTTGCCTTCCCCGCAACCTCTAGCTTTTCCCCCGCCGGGACTTTCCCGAAGAAGACTAGCTCCATTCCTGGGGCTTGGAATGTCTTCCGTGGCTTCATTTTGCGCTACTACCAGCTTGATAGTTTAGCCTCCAGACTAAGGGGATTACATCTCACCACCACGCTCGCCCTCGTTCGGCCAGAAACCTGTTGATCCTAGCTTCTTCGGCCCAATTCACTCACTTTATCCGATCTTTTCATTTGCGCTCAGACTGTGGTCAGACCCGGACCAATTTCTCCCGCCCTACTCCATTGGCCCAGCCCCAGAAGCAATTGTGACAGCTACTACACTATAGGGAGTACGAAGCAAAGTCACCCATGCTTTTTGGCTCCGGACCCCTGGCACACTTACCTTAGTCCACACCTTGGTAAGATGACGCCTTTGCTCGGGTATTTTGTGAATGAGCTAAACATCAATCCAGGAATTAGCTGCATTCCTACCCCAGTTTCTCGGTCCCTGCGCATTGGTTTCCCCCGCCCGCTGGTCAGGCGCGCCATCATGAGGTAAAAAAAGTCCAATTTCACTGTAAATAAATACTATGAGACCTTCCACCCGATCCGGCCAGGGACCTCTCCAGCTTCTTGGCTGCTGCCGCTCTCTGCTCTGCCCTGCCCGGATCACCCCTCGTATCTTGGTCATATATTGCTGCTGCTTCCTCCTCGTTACCATTCTCCTAGGTGTCAGAATGCACGTTAGAAGCTACCTGTCTGCCGTCCTGTACGGCCTGCCAGCACTGACCCAAATTGCTGCTGCCAAGTCCACAGGGGACCCTTTCCAACTCTACACCATCAGCGCAGAGAACATCACAGCCAAGCTCATCCCCTACGGAGCACGCTTGACTTCTCTCCTCGTCCCTGACCGCGACGGCAACTTCCAGGATGTCGTCGTAGGCTACGACGACCCCAAGCAGTATCTTAAGGACTCCGAGACCAACCACACCTTCTTCGGTGCCGTCGTCGGCCGATACGCCAACCGCATCAAGAACGGCACGTTCTCAATCGGTTCAGATGTGTACCATATCCCCGAGAACGAGAATGACGGTGAAGACACGCTCCACGGAGGTACCGTAGGCTACGACCAGCGCAACTGGACCGTAACCGCGTACAGCAATTCCTCCATCACATTCACCCTGGTTGACCGTGCCTTCGAAGACTTCCCCGGAGACGTTATCACCCATGCCACATTCAGCGTGCAAACCAAAGTCACCCCTGAGAACCCCCAAGGTCTCCCTCAATTGACCACCAAACTCGTCTCCCTTGCCCTGACCGAGACAACCCCAATCATGCTGGCCAACCACATCTACTGGAACCTGAACGCCTTCAAGGACGAGACCGTCCTCGAAGACACCTGGCTCCAACTGCCACTCTCCAAGCGCCTCATCGGCACAGACGGCATCCTGATCCCCAACGGCACCATCCTCGACGTCAACGTCTACGACAGCGCCCCGGACTTCGTCTCCGGCAAACTCGTCGGCCAAGACATCGCGAAAGCCGACGGACTCTGCGGCGATGACTGCACCGGCTATGACAACTGCTTCATCGTAGATCGCCCTCCTCAATACGCAGCTCGTAACTCCATCGTCCCGATCGTCCACATGAACTCCAGCACCACCGGAATCAGCCTCGACGTCGCTACCAACCAGCAAGCTCTCCAGATCTACTCTTGCAACGGCCAGAACGGCACCATCCCCGTCAAGCAATCGCAAGTCCAGCGCAACAAGGCCGAGGGTGTCGATGGCGCTGAATACGTCAACCAGCATGGTTGCATTGTCATTGAGACTGAGGGCTGGATTGATGGTATTAACAACCCTCAGTGGGGTCAGTTGTCGGACCAGATCTATTCTCCTGAGACGGGACCTGCTGTTAACTGGGCTACTTACCAGTTTGGTACTGTGTAAGTGGGGAAGTAGGGGGACTTGATTACGTGCTCTAGAAATCCACGATCGTGTGTACATAATCTGATGCGCCATCTGTCTTTATCCGGACTAGCAATGGCACGTACAAAGAAAGTTTACTGAGTGCTTAGAAACGCTCAAGGAATAATAATGGGAAGAAAAGACATTGCTAATACATTTGCTGTAAGACTCTAACGGGTATCGTATCTACTGCTAACTGCTTCGACAATCTCAGTGAGAACAAAAACAGAGTGAGTTCAGGGTGGTGCGGTCAGCACTACTCCGTAGGGAGAGAGGGGAAAATAGACAATGATGGAAGAAATTTCGTATCCCCAATATGTAATGCTTGTCTGACCAGGCCGCATAAATTAGCGTGGCCATGCGGGGGAAAAAGAGACTAAATTCAACCCCAGCCAGCCAAAGTCCAACTAGACCGGTCGCCTCCCGTGCGTAACCCCGAGCGCCTATCAGGAGCATGCCCATGCTCCAGATCCCGACTAGCTCCTGCGAGGCCATGTTGGAGGTATTTTTCCCGCTCAATCTCGACTAAGCCCCGGATCTTGAGACTCGTGAGAAGGCTGGCTCCTGCCCAGGGTCCAAGGGATTCGACCTCCCGCAGGACACCTTGGATTGGCGGGTGGGTATCCTTGTCTTTGTTATTACGACGGATCTTTTGCTCGATGGGGTCGATCTCTTCTTCTGCTTGTGCATCTGGAGTTGATCGCGCAGCAGCAGCATCGGGGGTCTCGTTCTCACCCTCCTGCTTTGTGACAGTCGGCTTGGTTGGTTGAGAGAGTCTTAGGCCCTCAAGCTTTTGGCGTTGCTGCTCGATAACCTTGCCGCGGACAGGTGACCAGCCATACTTTTCCACCAGGAACGCCACGTCCTGGAGGATGCGCTGTCGGACACCAGGGATATTAGAGCCTCCACCAATGAAAATAATACGCGACATGCACGTGCCGCGGACATCAGGAGGCAGGCTAAGCAGGGCATGATACACCAACAACGGCAACGGCTTTTCCTCGTCGTCCAACTCGCAATCGGCTAAGCCCTCCGCAAAGAGAACCTTTTCTACCGGTTCCGCGAGCTTGGAGAAAGGAAGGTCAATGTATGCTGAACCTGAACCTGACGGGGAGGGAAGCGACACCGTTGCATCTGAGTGTGAAGTAGTGTGTTGGTCAGCCGCTCCAGAATCCTCCTCTTGTGCCTCGGATGGCTGTTGCTGCGGTGTCGCCGTGGAGCCTTGGGAAGCCGCCTTGGGCTTACACCACAAGAACCGACTGGCAATTTCTTCGCAGAGCTCATAATGAACGGAGATTTCGTCCGCCGATTGCGTGGCCCCGCTGTCATCGGAGAGTCGTGTCAGAAACCGTCCAGTTTCCTGCAGTAGGGACTTCATAGCCCTCGTGCTGCGCTTGACGGCCATTTCTCTGTATTCGTAGATACCGCTGACAACGGTTTCCGCCCATCCAATATCCACCACCAAGCCTGAACGCAGCCCAGCTGCGACCACGGCCATAGGAGCACTGGTTAAAAGGGTGATGCTTGGAAACCGCCAACGGCTAAACAGGGTTGACAAAAGCGATGATAGGAGAGGGTGTGGCATGATAGACGGAAGAACCAGAACCAGTCGCGATGTTCCCGCATCTGTCAACAGGTATTTATTGTAGGTCTCGCGAAACATGCGCTCAATCTTGTCGTCAATGAGTGCCATATCCATATCGCGTACATCCATCTTCCAGAGTTCATATGCACCAGCCCATTCGTCGGCTTTGACTGGTTGCGAGCGTGATGAGTCCGTCTCGTTGCTTCTCAACCACCCTCTGTAATCGCCAACCCTTCTCGACTCCTCTGGACCGCACCCAACCACACACATTGGAGTGCTTTCCCCCTCAAACCCTGCCCGAAGCCATCTTGCCCCAAATTCGAAAATGATAGCGTCTTCTTCTCCGCGAAATGATGTGCTTGCGGAGGAGGTGCTTGCAAAGGAAGAATTGTTGGAACGGAGGTGATGTTGGGGCGTATGGGGCGAATCAGGTCTCCCAGATTGGCTGTGACGGAAGCTCATGGATATGGGTCGCCTATCGTCGAAAGCGGAGGTGGAAGATGTACTTGTCATGTCGTCGTCCGAATGAGTTGCTGGGACAGTCGCAAGGGTCGCTGCTCTATGGAAATCGCGGGGAAGGATCGGAGATAGAAGTCAACTTGCTTCAGGGACCCCGCGCAGATCATACTTCCTCTCAACCGATGCGCTTGATATGAGAAGGCTTAGATCATACCTTCTACCAGCAACTTTTCCAATTAAGAAAACGACTCCCAATTTGGGGGCAATTGGCATTTGGCGATTGGCGAACGCGACAAGGAAGCCGCGACAATCTGCGGAGGCTCTGGGCGGGCGGATCTACATCGGGCCGCGTCGCCCAGTTGCCGCCGTCAACAAACAACTCTCATCGCTGCATTAGTATTCGCCATCAAAGAGGACCTGAGCTGCAGTGCAATTTTTTTTATATTGGTATTTTGGGTTTTGAAAGTTGGGAACAAGGGAGGCTGTCCGAATGGGGATTCCGGGGTAAGTCAGCCAGTTTTGTAGGTGCTGTTTTGTGGAACTTTACTTGGGAGAGAAATATATTATCCCTTTCCCGTGCACAAACAGCACTCATTCAAGTAGTTCAACGGCTAATCCACTGACCACAAAGGCTGATCCATGCCATCGGTGCTGGTGAACGTATCTCCTTGTCAAGGTTGGCCATAACCCATTTGGAGCGCACAGCTAGGCCTATTCGTATTGCCGTGGACATCTCGATATGGCTGTTCCAAGTGCAAGCTGGCCGGGGTGGTCGAAACCCCGAGCTACGAACGTTGTTTTACAGACTATTGAAGATTTTAGCGCTTCCAATCCATCCTCTTTTTGTATATGATGGCAAGAACAAGCCGCCTTTCAAGAGAGGCAAAGCCGTGTCAAGTCGCAGTTACGGAAGTGCACCAATCATTCGGCTCTCCAAGATCTTAGTCGATCTGTTCAAATTTCCGCGACACGAGGCGCCAGGAGAGGCAGAAGCAGAGTGTGCAAGACTGCAAAGAGCAGGAGTTGTTGATGCAGTCATGACTAATGACGTTGACGCTCTTATGTTTGGCTCAACATTTACCGTCATGGGCTTTTCCAAGGAAAGTGGCAGCAGCACCGGGGCTGCAACACATGTTACCTGCTACCGCATGAACACCGCTGGCGATCCTTCGAGTGTGAAGCTTGATCGTGCAGGCATGATCTTGTTTGCCATGTTGAGTGGGGGTGATTACTTGCCATCGGGGGTCCCTAAATGCGGTAGCAAGCTCGCTGGCGAGATTGCCAAAGCTGGATTTGGCGCAGATCTTCTTGAAATCCTTGAGTCAGATGGCGCCGAGCTCGATGCCAGACTAAGCGATTGGAGAGAACGACTCCAGTATGAGTTGGAAGAAAACGAAAGTGGTTACTTCCAGACCAAGCACAAGGCTGTCCGAATTCCCGACACTTTTCCTGATCGGACGATTTTGTCATATTATGCGAATCCTGTGGTTTCTTCGACAGGCGACATCAGAACCCTTCAACATAGCCTCTCTAATGCTTGGGACAAGGACATAGACGTTGTCGAGCTGAGGAGATTTGCTGGCGACGCCTTCGAATGGAATTACCGCTCTGGGGCTAGAAAAGTGACCAGATTACTTTCCGAGCCGCTGCTGTCCTACCGACTACGCCTTGGAAGACAAGCATCAGCATTTCCCGCGAACTGCCCTACGTTGTCGAACAGCAACACGCCGATGCTGCAAAAGATCTATAAAAGCAGATCCAGCTATACTACCGACGGCTTGACGGAGTTCCAGCTGGATATGATACCCGTCGACATTGTTGGCTTGGATATTCTTGCAGATGAGCCAAATCCTCCACTTCCTTCTCAAGAGTCGACGGTCTCAGGGGACGAGGAAGAGGAACTGGAGGATAATGCGGTATCGGTGCCTCAATCCCCGGTAAAGAAACGTGTTGTAAAGCGCTATGATCCTTATGCCTCTGAAAAGGTGTGGGTATTCGAAACCCTAGCCACGATAGGACTCCCAGAAGTCGTGAAGAATTGGGAACGAGAGCAAGCCGAGAAGTCGGCACCGAAGAAAACAGCGACGCGAAAGACAGGGCCTAGGAAAAAGGGGCCTATAGACCCGAACATGAAGCGAGGTAGCATCTTGAAATATGGTACTCTCACGAAGGAGCGAACCGAAATATCCCGCCACAAAAGTGCGCAGCTCTTAGAGGCAGCAGTCTCGGCCAAAGCAACTGCTGCACCCAGCCTGTCGAGTTCCCGTCAGTCTCAAGATTCTCCTAATCCTTCAAGGAAGCCATCAGCGTCTGACATATCTATACAGCAGCAGCCATTGATTGAATCAAGTGACGATTCGCCGAGCCTTGATAATCTAATCGATCAATTTTCTTCATTGAGTCATGCACCGTCCTACACAACTATCAAACAGCAGTCACCCAAAACCACCCGAGCACGCGGCAGAGCTGGAAGACAACCTGCTTTGACAGATGCCACCGATTCAAAGACAAAGAAATTGTCTTCCGCAGAGAGTTCTCCAGCTCTTTCGCCGACCAAGAAGAATGCTCAATCAAGTTCAAAACGTTGTACGCGGAAGGGGGATGCGACAGACGACAAGAAGCCTGCACTTCGTTCGATATCTCCTAACCATGCAGGCCGCCAAAACGCATCGAAACCCCGGCGCAAAGGAGACAAACTGAAGTCTTCTTGCGAGGTTCACGAACTACAACAAGCGATATCTTCCATAGCATTGGATGACGCGCAATCGCGCAAAACCGCTACAGAACTCATATGCCTAGATGATACCGGGCCCATGCCCCGAAGAAGCCCGCGCCAGAAGATGTGTAACACCAGGTCTGGCCCTGCTGGGGCCGCTGAACGCATGGCCCGCCCTTCGCCATCTGTGGAGAACGGCGAGCCTGTCTTAATATCAGAAGATAATGCTGTAGATACAATAAAGCGCCGGGATCATGAGAATCCCTCGAGTCGAACACAAACATCATCCTCAGTGAGCGAGCCCACGGAGCTCAAGCCTCGGAAAAACAAATCTTCTGAAAAACCAGACGACTGTCCATCGACAGTATCACACGTCGAATCTGTTGTTGTACATAACGGGTTCTGGACGACAGATACTAGCTCAAAACCTGAATCGGCAGAAGCTGCAAGTACGACCGACACTCGAACCAGTCGCGGCAAGAAAAAGCGGATCGCCCGTGTGAGCTTCATGGACTTGACCTGAGCAGCAATGAGAGAATTGTGCATTGGTCCTTTCCAATACTTGATCCAAGTCTTGCCTTACCCTAATCTCTTGGAAATGCATTGCAGGCGCATTGCTTTCGGGACCCAAATTTGAGTAAAGCATCTTCTTTGTACACTGGCATACAAGTCATGATATACATCAAAGTCTGGACATGAGGAATGTAGTCACTCCACGTCATTACAACATCTATAGAGCGTTAAAAGAAAGTGAATAGTAGCCCGTGTGTTTGTATAGATTTGCAAGCGCCAAAGCCACGCCGGTCCAGGATATCTATCTAAGTAATCATTAAACAAAAGTCCTTCTGCGGGCCAAAGTAATTATTTCCAAAGTCTTCCCCACTCAGAGTAGTGCAAAACAGGGGGGTAATCGAGTGAGAGCTCAAAGAGAAGAGGAGTGGTGATGTAGTTGGTCATGGGGTAATCGGGTGTATGTATAAGAGATAAACAGGATAAGTAGGTGATTGAACAGAGGAAAAGGAAAAGAGGGTTGAAATGAATGGTGAGTCGATACTGCGGCTCGCGGCTTGTCGCGCGCTTCAGCGACTATCCAAGCCATGGCAGTGCTGTGATAATGAACAAAAAAGGGGAGATATAACGGCATTAGCTGCGGTAGTCTGCTCAACCAAAGACCTTCAGGAAACCCCACAATCCGATACCGCTCAAGATCGGGATAGTAAGGTTATCATCCCAGCCGAAGATGTCCACGAACTCGCTTCCAGCGGCGACTAAGCCGGAAACGACGCTCATAACGCCGAGGGCCAAGGGGCCCGAAATGACAGCGCTAGGGGTGTCCGCAGTCCAGCCGATGAGGTTCTTGATCGAGCTAGGAAGAAGGTTGAGCTGACCGGTGAACATGAACGATCCCTCGGGGTCATTGGGGAAGGTTCCAATGTAAGGTACGAAGTATCCCCAGAATGCGGCTGCGGTCAGGACACCCACAAACCAGGCTCCCAGTGTACCAGCGAAGCTCTTGCCCTTGCGCAGCTGGAATGTGTAACGGCCGTAGAGACGACCGAATGTGGAGGCTGCAGTATCACACCAACTGAGGAGCAGTACGCTCATGACTCCAACGTCTTTGGGGAGGAAGCGCAGCACTGCATATGTGCCCACAAGATACCAGATCACACCGTTGTAGCCGGAAACCTCTGTCTCGCGCATCAAAGCCCCCACGCAGCGGATATATATGTTGTTGACCTTAGTGGAATGGTGACGGACGATATCTACCGTGGCTATCGGCACGAGAGCTCCGAAGAGCCATGGTGTAATCTGGAGAGTTTGAATGCCGCGACTGTACAAGTTGAGGGTGAGGAAGCCGATCGATACGTGGAGAAGTTTGCGCGGGATCTCATGACGGTGTATAAAGGAGCGATAACGGCTGTGGAGAGGTATGAGACCCAGAGGAGAAGGAGATCGAGAGATGTCGTGCCAGCTGCCGCCGGGTTTCGCGATAGGTGATAGATACCCGTTGGACTCTGCATGACCATTCGTCTGCTTCTTGGGCTTTCCAGCGGGCAACTTCGGATTAGATTTTCGGGTACGGCGCCTTGTAGACTCAGGAGATTTTGGGCTGCGAGACCGCGCTCGTGAGCGTTTCGAATCCGAGTTTGAGGTATCAGGTGTTTCTTCCGTTACCTCCCCAAGTCGCTGCCGTCGTGCTGCGGAGCGTGTTGTAGGTCCGAAGTAATCGCCCGAGCTTGATCGACGCTCAGATGAAGCAGGAGAAGGAGGAATGACTCGAGGAGTCTCCGGTATGGAACCGGGTTCAGAAGGCATATCGGCTGCAGGTATGGAGAAA